ATGTTAATTTAGGAATCCATTTTTTTTTCCTGTAAAGATGCCAAAAGCTGAGCACTGTGCTGCTCCAAAAATGTCAGACCAATGTAGATGATGTGACCCTACTACCCACAGAGCTCAACAAGACAAATGCAGATGAACAAAAAACTGGAAAGCAAAAACTTAGAGAACAATCCAAGTGGTTATTGCGATGGTAAACTGTGTAGGTAAAATGTGCTACTCTGGTATTTTGACAGCAGACGTGAAAGCTTTCTATAATTGTTCCTACTGGTTTCAAACCATATTTGTAAAGGAAGAGGGAGCGGTGGTGGTAAGAACCCTCTTGCCTTGTTTATTAGGATGTGCCCCCTCATTATCCTGGCCTCTTATATTCTTCAAGGTTTTAATTCATCATTTTGCTGGACACTGAAGTCTTGTATAGCCAACCCACTCATCTCGGGTGTAAGAACTAAATTCTGACCCAGAAAAAAAGACATTCTGCTAAAGGGTAAAGGTGTTTGACTCTTCTGAACAATAATGACCCGCCACAAAAAAATGTTAGCAAGGTGCTAAATGGATAGATGGATAATAATGGTGATTAAAAATGGAGAGTAGTATTTTTAAACCCGGAAGTTCATAATATGGCTCAACTTCTTCCCTAAGGGCTCCACCACGTAGAGAATTGAGTCTTTACATCAAATAAATGTTATCTTCCCAGACTGTAGAGAATTGGGCTTTTGTATCTGTAAGTTTTGGCTTCAGATGAGTCACCTGTTGACAGTTGCACTCCAATCACATGGTTGATTTTGCTTTTGAGTCCAAGACTCCTAAATTGGGGTCATTTTTACTGTCTCCTAGTATTGCAATTCTCTGCTTTTCAGGAAGATACAACAGAAGGGACAAGACTTTCAGAAGGACTTGATAGGATTTTTGTTGTTGTTCATAAAATCCTGCAGCACTTCTATTCTTTGAGCTACTTAGTCATTAGGAGAAGTTTCTAGTCTCTTTGCTGTTGTAAATGCAGCTTCACTGACATGGATGGGTTGATGCTGTTCCTCAAGGACATAGCCTTCTGCTACGAGTGTTCATCAGAGCCAAAAAGTGTGTTATCTGAGGTGCTGCAAGTACATGATTGGCCATTCTCCAGTTTTGGTGTGCTTATTGATACTGCCGTATGGAAAGGACAGTTAGAGGTGAGTTGTGGCCCTGAAAAATGACAGACTGTTGCACAGGTTTTTGGTTGGTTTTCATAAATAATGATTTTGTAGGCTCTATTTTTGGCTGAACTCCAGATCTAGTTTGAGATGTGCTTTTCCAAAACTATGGAGGTATATGGCAATGGTATGGATGGCAATAATTGTAGTATCCATCTGAAGAGACCTTTGTGTATAGATTCCTCAGTTAAAGTTATATATGAAATGCATTTGGTTATACTGATGTTAGTTTGTAGTTGAATCAGGGCTTTTGTCCTTATCTACCAATTGATTCAGTTTGATAGTGAACAAATACTGCCAGGGGCTGTAATGCCCTATCTCTGGTATGTAAAGGAAATGTTCTTCACAGGGGGAGAATGTTTGGCAGTTGCTAAAAAATCTGTTCAGTAAACAATGGTACTACTGGGTAACAGTGTGAAGATGAGAGGGTGGAATCTTCATAATGGGATTAGTGGGGAGGGAGGGAATATTCCAATAGATTTTAAAATGTTACACATTGAGATTCGCATATGATTATATACCATACTTTCTTAGTGGCAAAAGTGTCCAGGCAGGCATCCTTTGGAAATGCTTCAGGAAATTAAAACCCAGTGCAAAGAAAACCTGGTTAGAAAAACAGAAATAATAGAGCATCCTATTGTCTAGATCATTAACTCAGCAACTGTAGTTTACACAAAACTATAGTACAAAATTGCTGAGAGTCCAGTTTATGAAGGGCTTCAGTAGGGCTCATGTTTTGGAGTCAGGATGTGCCAGCAAGTCTGCACTTGGGAGTTAATCTCCTCTGGGAGAGGTATTTATATATTATATTCATGGTAAAAACACTCTCTGCTACTTAAAGCCATTTATAATTTTCCTGTTACAACATTCAAGCTAAATGCTGAATATATGCTTGCTAACTCAGTGGCTCTCTTTATCTACTCAGCCCTCAAGGGATTGCTATTCTAGGTCTGGGGTGACGTCAACACTCCTACTTCACATGGTATCGCCGGTGTGGTACAGTCCTGTTCCATCAGCTGAGACTTAGAAGATTAAGCTTTCCTTAGTAATTCTTAACTTTTATTAGTGACCCTGGTTTTGCTGCCTCTACTGCCATTAAGGGTCAGGCATCTGTGTTGAGAAAGAACAGCCTGCTCTGTTCAGTAGTTTCTTATTGGATGTACTAACGTGAATTTAATGGGAGAAGGGAGAGTATATTCTGAGCTGAGGTCTTCATTTCTGAATGGTAGGTCCAAACTTGCTAAGGTTCTGAAATGCATAGTGAAAGCTCCCAAGTAAATGTTGCTGTGCCTACTAATGATACTATGTGATAACAATGTTGTGGAGTTTTTTTTCAATATTGCTGTCCCATATTAATTATAATGGCATAAAAACGATGTGGCAGGCTACATAATAAATCCCACCATTCCTACCTGTAAACTATACCTAAAAGCCAGATTATTTTGAACTCTTCAGACCCTCTGAGCTGTTTATCCACTCATTTGAGAGAAGGAAAAGCGATGCCAGTACTGAACTCTTTAAAAAAATCTCCTAAAATTTAAGTTGTTAACTATTTATCACAGTTCCCTACAGATTCCTTACTTTTCCTGGACTCCCAAAGCCATGCTGCTCACAACATGCAAGTTGAGAGAACCTATTTTTATTGTACAGAACAGGGAGGCTGAAGCCTTGCACTAATTGCAAACCAGTATGTAGTATCACCAGTGGAGCTATGACCAGCTCCTGCATAAGGCTTACATAAGTGGTGAGTCATACAGCCTTACGGAAGGATAGGGAGAGAGGCTTTCATTATATTGTTTGCCTAATCAGAAATATGAAAATAAAAGAACACAGCACTCAGTGGGTTATGTTTGGCTAACAGTAGGCTGGAATTTCAGAAGTTGTACTACTATGATTGAGGCATTTCGTTGTTTGTGGTCCCAGCTTATATTAAACAGAGAGGATTTTTTCATAAATCTTTGCCTCTAGGGCAGAGTTAAGGTTGTTTGGGAACTGTAGCTGTGTGTTTCCACACATTAATGTCTGAAAGCAGCACCATGGGAGTAGAAATGGAGGTACATGCCTAGGGAGGATACCAGGAGTAAATGAAGAGGCCCAAGGGCAGGGTAGGGATTGTGAGGATAAGCATGTAAAGAAGCAGTGGAGTGGAAGCAAAGCTTTTAGGGTGACTGAAAGTAGTGATGATTTCTCATATCTTACTAGTCTCTTGGTACTCTCAGGCAGGTAGTTGAATAGATACTACTTTATCCAACACTGTTGCAAGCCATGAGCTGAGATACCTACAGTCCTTAGAAAACAACTGGAGAGTTTTGAGGATTGTAGCTGTCTATAGCTTTATGTGCAGCAACAGTGCACTTTTTACTGGTCTAATGAACCCATCATAGTTTCTCATTTTCCTCCATCAGTCCTCTGCACCTCATGTGGCAAACTAGATTGGCAAGCTTGTCTCTTGGTGGAAAAAAAAAAACATAGCAATAATAACTATCCGTTTAAAAAAAAATAAATAATTTTTTTTTCAAACGTGGCTGCAATAGCTGAAGGCTGAACAAGTGACGGTAGGAGCGAGTCTGGAGCAAAGAGCTGCATGGCCCCGTGCACTAGGAACTTCAGCTTCAGAGCAGCAAAAGGTGGGTGCTTCCTGTAAAAGAGCTGTTTGAACAATCCAGATTAAACATTTTTTTTTTTTTTTTTTTTTTTTTCCTTCGACTCGTTCATTTAGGAGCACGTGGATCTGTAATCTCATTTGTCAGCACCTCATTCGCTTATGGACCCACATGCTTGCTCGGAGCAAGCACTCCTGTCTAACAGTGTGCCTAAGCAGTGGAGCCAGAGGACATTGCTACCTGTCCCGTAACCTACCTCCTTTGCTTTCCTGCCTGGAAAGGGAACTTGGGGCCATGTGGAAGCAAACAGATGCTGCTTCATGACCATCAGGAATGTATAATTGCTCCTCAGCAAGTTGCCAGGATGCCTTAAAAATTACGAGTGTGAAAGATGGCTTTGGGTTTGGTTTGGTTTTTGTTTTTTTTTTTTTGGGGGGGGAAACTTCATCAGCCAAAGTAAGCGGGGGAAGCAAATTTTTGAACACTGGCTCAGTTTTGGAATTATTTAAACCTTAACATTTTTCAGAATGTGTATGCCTAATTACTTCGAAAGTTGGCTGCTCTCCCTACACTGGAATCACAGAAACCCAGTCTGTCCCTGAACCCTCGCCCTGGGCAGGAGCGCAGGCAGGGAACTGTCCCGCAGCGCGCCCGGGTCCCGCCGGTACCGGGGCCCGCAACAGGGAATGCTGCAGGCTGCGGGGATGGATGATACTGCGGCTCATGCTCATTTTGTAATGTACGTTTTATTGCTGTGACAACGATAGGAAACAGCACCTGGGATCTGCAATGCCCAAATCAAGCCCTCTTTTTTTAGGTAAATTTACAGAGCGAGATTTTCACAAGTGCAACTTTCTCTGCAGACATTGGGCTCTCCCTGGAACGAGCAGCTCTCCTGGTTCACCCTCCCTGCGGATCACGCCCCAGCCCCGGCCGGCCGCCCTCTCATGTTAACGAGCGAGCGGCGATGCCCCATTGAGTCCTGGAGGGGCCTTAATGGCCCGGGAGAGGTGCGGGGCGCGGCCGCCCACCCCCCGGGGCAGCGGCCCTCGGGGCTGAGCACCCTGCCCTCGCACTGCCCTCGGCGGG